CGGGGGGGGCCAACCAAATTCCAGGGCTGTGGCTTGCCCTGAGATCCAGGCACGATCGGGCCCAGGCTCCTTTGTGCCCTGTCGGGAAACTCCAGCCATCCACCGTGGGGCAAGAGAGTTGCAGGAAACCACCATGTTTTCTTAATGCTGGCATTAGGGCAGCCTGGGGCTTTGCTGAGAGATGTGGAGCATGTGCAGAGTGCCTTTTGCTCATCCCACCACACCAGCTCAGCTACTCCATTTCTCTGGTGCTTAAAGCACAAGACCTGGTGTTACAGATTCCTTGGCTCCATCTGAGAAAGCCTCTCTCTCTCTCTCTCTCTCTCACACACACACACACACGGCCTCGGTCTCCCCGACTGGGGAAGTGGGTCTTTATAGAAAACAGAGAAAAGAGCTTTGACTGATGAATTAGGCAAGAGAGTTGCAACAATTGCCCTCCCAGCACAAATCACGGGTGGGGAGAAGGTGTCTGAGGTTCCAAAGTGTGGGGCAGGGAACTGGGGATTCACACGGGAATTAAAGCCACCCCCCCCCCGGGGGAACACGGGGCAGAGGGGATACTGGGGGCAGAGGGGATGCTGGCGTCCTTCCTTGGTTGAAGAGTGATGGGAGTTGCAGCGCAACACATTGGTGAGTCCTAGCTGAGGATGCTCCGAGGCCAGAGCAGCCTGCAAGGGTTGGGGGAGGCTGGTCACAGGGTGACTCTGCCTAGCTGTGCCAAGTTTTCCACTCTCGCCACATCAGCGCCTCCTCTTTTGGCTCAATTTTCATGCAAGGGCAAAGCAGGCACCTTTAAGGGTGCACATCAAAGCTTCAACCGGCCTTTGGGAATCTGAAGCCCCCCTCTCCCCACCTTACCCCAAAGAGGGGAGGGGTGAGAGTTGTCCCCAACAACAGAAGGGTGCCAAAGATTAAGGATGGCTGTCTTGATTTTTTTTTTTTTTTAACTAGCATGATACAAATTAGAACTACAAATTAGCCCGTCTCATTGGGGGCGTTGCAGGAGGAGAGCCCTGTTAGTCCAGGGTAGCCAAAAGTCAGGAGGAGTCTGGAAGCACCTTTCCCGGCTCACAGCTTTTATTCAAAGGCAGAAAGTCCTGCCTTTGAATAAAATCTGTGAGCCAGAAAAGGCGTTTCCAGACCGCTCCTGATTTCTGCCTTGTTGGACGGGCACTTAAGATCTGGAGCAGCAAAACCACTTTCAGATTCAGACCCGCGAAAGGCCCTTCGGCGCACACGTGCGCATGCAACCTTTTGCAGCCTTTAGCCCCGATCCTTTGGAAGCTTTCAACCTTAGGACCCCCGTCCTTCTCCCCCCACACTCTTAATAGTTGAAAAGCACAGTCCCCCCCGCCCACGCCCACCCCATGGGAGTTGTAGCGCAGGCTGTCCGCAAGGCTGGCGAAGGGGGTCTCCTGCTTCGGACCCCTCTCCGAGCTCCAGTTCAGTGCCTTTTCGAGCCCCGCCCTGCCGCCTCCCACCCCGGTCCGGACCCTTCCCTGCCCCAAAGGGGGGCGGGGGTTTTGCAGGACCACTGACCTTGGAATGG